TTGCTTGTAAAGATCGTGGGGTACATTCCAGCAAAGTACTGTTGTTCTCTATGCCATAGGCCAGTTGCTCTTCAGTTTTATCCAAAACATCTCCTATAATATAAATGTTAACATTAGCCTTAAGACTTTAAATTTACTGATGAACAATATTTTCAAAAACATTTTTTTATTCAGATTTGTGAACCAAAGTGAAAAGGTTTGATTACCTATTTCTAAATTTCTATGCAAGGTCACTGAAAGGAGTTATTTAGGGAGAGTGGCCTACCAAAAGCTAGGCATTAAAAAGCAGGCTATGGGGAGGGGAAGAAGGAAGTAACTGGGAATTTGGTTCTAAAGTATGGGACAGTAAGAAGGTGCCTCAGCGTTAATTCATGGGAAATCAGTGGTAACGTGTCAACAAAGCATGCCAAGAGGAGGTGAGCACGAACATTCAGTGAAGACACAGGACGAAACTCATGGTTACAAATAAAATCAAGGTAACAGGGCGCTACATAAACAACAGTGTGATTGGTATCTTGACACTAGCGCACTTATCCAGGCATTGGGCCCCTGCGAAGAAGGAGAGAGTACGAAACTGAACTAGGGAACTTGTGAACCAGACCTGCTTGACTATAATCTATTTCTTAACCTAGAAAGGCTTTCACTGGATTTGAACCCAAATTTACATCCAGGCAAGCTCATCTAACTGCAGCGGGAAACAAAAGCAAATGGATTTATTTGTTGCTGTTTTAACCAGGATCAAATTCAAAGACTAGATTCTGGGATTTTTCCCTATGTCTGAGTTTTCCTCACCTTCAAAACAGACCCCAAAGTTCCCTATGATTAAGATCTTGCCTTCCTGTATGCAATATTCTCAGAGACTCATGTCCTGTACCAAACCCTGCAACAGCCTGGGGCTAGCAAACCAACACGGGATTGTGTATAAGCGCTGCTGGTCTCCTGGTCATGGGACTCCTTCCCCGGGTGCTTCCTGGCACACCTAGTGACCTAACTACAGCCTCTTCACCAGCGCCATTATGGTGTGGAGAATTAGAACAGCGAGTTTCTGTCTTGTTTGACTTCCTTCCGTTTGCCTACAGCTGAAATTTCCTCTTACCCTTCACCCGTCAGCCCATGTGCAACGCTTCCGCAGAGCCCACATTTTCACCACCAGCCCGTTCTAGGTTTACTCTACTGCAGTGACAAATGTCACAATTCTTCACCTTATTCTCTGCCAAAGCATAGCAGGTGACTTATTTCAAGTTATCTCACTCCTGAAACAACTACCATGAGTTATGCGACATGGTGAAGACATTCCGGGGTTGAGGTGCAGAGGTAAGATAAGTCCTGCCACGCTTTGCAGTGCCAGACACCTCAGTATACGGCCTCCTGTTGTAGGAGTCCCCCATTCTGAGGTTGCACAGTAAAGGTTGGTGGTGGTAAATAAAATTTATTTTCCTAATTAAGTAAAAATTATACATCAAATCCACAAACTTTTAACTACATGGAAAAAAGAATACTTTGAGTAACAGTGTTCTAGCACATATCAATCACAAAGAAAACAAGGACCCCTTTTAAGAAGTCTGCAGTTTCTCGCCAATATACACTCTAAGCAACCCATAGCAATTGATTTTCTGCGGATTACCGACAAACTGCTGTCCAAAACACTGCTGAGCTGCATTTCCATGCCGAACATCTTGTCTGCGGAACCGTCTGAAAGAAAGTAAATTTCGGGCAAATTCTTTTCAATTCAGAATAGATGGTCAGATTTCAATTTTCCAGACTTGAAAATAGAGCTCGCCGCATTAAAGATTCAAGTAGTATTCTGCTACTGAAAGAAATGGATCAGTCATACGCAACAAGGATAAAATTCAAGTTTCATAGTTTTCCATAGTTTCACTGAGTGTTATTCAGTGGATAAGATCTATATAAAACCGTTCCTTAAATGTTCACATAAGTTTGAATTCTGTATCCTGAAACAATAATGTAGGAAGGTTTTCTTTACATTTCATTACAAGGGCAGTGCATCAAGAAGTCTCCTAGTTTGAAATGAATGTCTTGTATGGTATGGGATGTGGGCAGATGAAGACAGTGGGATTTAAGGCAGAATGAGCAAAAATTGCATAAAACTCCTAAATATAATAAGGTATAACAGGTATTCAGATCCAAATGCATAGTTCTATAGCCATTAGATCATTGGCACAAATACAGTTACTAATAAAAAGAGATAACTAATAATATATTCAACTTAATCTTATTCAGATATCATATGTAGAAATTAAATGCCTCTATTCAATGTGATAGGGTGTTATACATATTTAATAGGCTGCTTTGTGAGACTACCACCAGAATTAGAATCACTTCTGGTATATTTTCACATTTTACAGGTTTTTTAAGATAAACAATTGAAAAATAACAACATTCTTTATCCATGGAAAAAGAATCCCAGAATATGTATCTTGTTTTAAATTTGTAAGCATCTTTCTGAGGAATTAAACAATGGAAATGATCATTATTAGTATTGGAATTCTAAAATCAAGATCTGCATATTAATTCAGATTAGAGATAAAAATAGAAGTATTACATAAAGGCAGAAAAATAGCACTTTCTTGTCTAAATCATGGCATTTCTTCAAGGTTGGGGGAAAAACAGAAGGCAAAGCAGAAGTTTCTCCCTAGAGGGAGATGGTGAGGCTTCCAAAGTGACAATGAGATACTTTAAGCATATGTAGTGCTAAACTTTGGCAAAGGGAACCAGATTCAAATCCCATGCCACCACTCATGTCCTGTCTGATCTTACAATGTCTCTTCCTCCTGGTTCTATGGGTCCTCCTTTGTAAAATTAAGTTGTCTGACACTTAAATCTACTCTAGTCTCAATGTGCTTTTTCTTTCATTCTAGGTTTTCCTCACTGCCTCCAAATAATGATAACAGAACATTCAAGAAATGGAGTGTTTTCTCCCATATGAGTTCACAGCTTAGTTAACAACTCAATTAAACACAACTTTTGAAGTTTTTCCTTATATTGAAAGCTAGGGCAGATGAACATTTTCAAGCAATTTTTAAGATTGTGACCTATATACAAAAGCATGTTTTATCTTGTTTTGGTTTTATGGAGATTGTTGATTAGAAAGCTTCACCTAGGATTTTACAAAGATAAGATTAAAGCTACCACATGGATCATTCTATTGAGCTAAATTGAAAAAAGAATTTGCCCGAAATTTAAGGAGCAAAAGTAGAACGTTTTATGCTTCTATATTTTTTATACTAGCATGTACACCTATTATACAATTGCTAACAGCTTGAGATGTGAATTAAACTGCTGTTGTTAATTCTTTGCTTCATTAAGTATTGGTTTGGTATTGGCAATCTGAAGTCTGCTGAGCAATAATGAATAATAGAGTGTGGATAAATCAGTGAAATGGGAAATAGTTTCCACTTTGCAGAGATAATGTATCAAGTTTATTATATGAGTGATGTGAGACTTCAGGGGACTGCAATCTGATCATTCTAAATAAGCAATGTGAATAATAAGCAAGCAAAAGACTTGTTTAAAATCACTGCAAACATGCATTTAAAAAGAAAGGTATTATATCCTCCAACAAAGTTTCAATTCATATTATACTATCCTAGCATAGCTGTCTTTTCTTTCAGCATTTAAAAAGGAATGTAAATGCTCAGGAGTTTTAGAAAGGTTAAGCAAAGTTGCCTTTTATTCTCAAAGTCGTATATTTTTCTTATATCTCTTGCCTCTTTGAAACTTTTTAAGAGAACACTGGAGTAGACAAAATACAAGAGCAAGGGGAAGAAAAAGCTCTAGCTCTATAAATTACAGGGTATTTTGGAAGACTATTTTAAACAAGTGGTTTGGATTCTGAATTTATGTTTTACCTCTCTTGACTCATTTTCACTCTGTGAACAGAAAAGTATTTATTTTAATGACCAGTTTTCAATTTATGCTGCTAGTCAGGTCTGAAGCAAAAATGATCTGCTATAAAAGCAAACTGTTTTCCCTTCATGTGCTGGAACTTATCCAAAATGTTCTCCTCCAGGGGTGGGTGATGGTTCAAAAGAATCTGACACCCGCTGAAAGATCTCCTTGACATGTCACTAAACTGAACTAATTCATTTATGAACACAGCTCCTGAGTTCAGCATCTCACTCCTTCCTGTCTATGATTCTGCCCATTCATTGAACTTTTTCTAAATAACTTTTTGTCCACCCCTTTGAAGTATATTACCAAGCTCATGGTCATACATTTTTTTCAGGATGCACCATATACCAAGAAATATTTAGCTATGGAAACTGCTCAATTCAAATTCACCCTCACTATTTCTTGTCCAATACAAGCCCTTGTTCTGTGTATATATTTGATGCAAGACTTGTAACCATTTTTATAGCTGTGAATAGCAAAAAAAATAATTTTATTGTTTTGGGTAAAATTACCTTTCCACCCTCAGACCTGCTACTTTACTCCTAACTTCTGGAACCACATGGTTTTTGTCGAACATCCTATGCCTTTGTACAAATAAATAATTACTGGAATCTCCTTATATCTGTACCTTCAAGACTGAGCAGAACCGTCTGAAAGAAAGTCTGCAGTTATTTAACAGCTAACAGTCTTAGCTGTTGTAAATAATGCTGCAGTGAACATGGGGCTGCAGGTATCTTTTCCAGTTAGTGTTTCTGTTTCTTATGGATAAATACCCATAAGTGGAATCCCTCAAAGGTAGGGTTATTTTAAAAATTAAATAATGTATTATGTGTAGTCTCTTATATATAGAAAGTACTCAGTAGTGAGCTACTACCATCCTTATTTACAGGTCCAGTCTCTACCATTTGTTCTGATTTCCTATGGACAAGGGGCTGTTATTGTTTCTCCATATCCTTTGCACATAGTACAGTAATTGACATAAAGGGTGAAGAATAAGTCATTAAACAATGTTTCAAATAATAATGTGGCTCTATGGCTCTATTCTTCAAGAATTACTTTCCAATATCAATGAACATTTGGTACACAATCAGTTAATTTGCTCATTTCTTCAATATGGTTGATAAATTATTTAGTTCATCAATGTCCTCTTTCAAAAACAGCTTTGTACTTATTGGCTTATTATACCCTTTCTTTAAATACTTATTGGAAGGTTAATTTAGCTAAGATCAAGTTAACAAAAGCTTTGAATTAGTGAATAAAGATTTTAAAAATGAGATTCTACTATATATGTTAACCTATAAAAATAGCTACATTAAATTAAGTGAAATTAGATTTTGAGAAACGTTTAAAGTAAGCCAAAGTGAAAAACTAAGGATAATCAAAATTAGCAAAAATTGCTTTTTAGTAAGGAACTTATATATAGTTCTATGTTTTTGCTTTGTCATTTGGTCACTTAATAGAAAAAATAACTGCTTATTCCATAATAAATATACTTCTGCTTATGTGTTTTCCCACAAAGAATGTACAGTTTCATATGGCTTGAGTGAAGAAATATCCTTATTCTTCAAAATACTTTCTGCACCTCAAAAGCTCCTGTCCAAAGAATCCTGGAATTCACCTCCCCTAACAAGTGGCAATGACCTTGCTGAATTGTAGACATTAAAATTTGGAGGTCTTTAAGTACTTTTCATTTATGTTGAATTAAATCACACATTTCATTAATTATACAGGTCATACATTTGCCTAGGAGTTAAAATATTCACTTTCAAAATGAAATAAATGAAGAACAGCTGGTCGAGAGGACATGGGGGCAAATGCAGGATGTATTTTACATTTTATTTATTTATTTTCCTTTTAAGTCTTTGAATCTCTCATGTGTGGTGGCTTGCCATTTCCACATTTTAAGTTTATCTAAACTGGTTTCATGTCTCGTAGCAAATTTTTCAGGAGGGTGAGGAGTTGATCCAAACCTGGGTAGAAAAATAAAAATCGAGCAGCATGCTCAGCTCCAACATCCACACAGTAATTGACAGGAATTCTTTTCAGGAAATACTAAACTTTTCAAAGCTTATATTATGAACAAACTATGACTATGGCGATCCATTTAAATAAAAATTGCGTTGTTATTTTCATGGAATGTGTGCAGAAAGAAAAAGACCAAAGAAAGGGTTAGCATCTTCCTAAACTTGGGAACCATTCCCTGGAAGGCTCTGGCTCACCTCTTTGCATGTGTGCCTGTTGGGTAATACAGGGAACAGGATATGCCATCCCAGGCGCAGTAAGGGTCTCGGGCCAGGCAGCAGTCAGCACAAGCACTTCCATACATGTCACACTGATGGAATCTGACTTGGGCCACGGCTGAAGCAGATCCAACATACAGCTGTTGCTATAGACATCAAAAAAGAGAGTGGCCACTAGCAGAAACGGACAGAACTCTCACTGAGCTCTTACACCTAGTCCATATTTGTACATACACACTCATCCTTGGGAATATTTAGTTAAATTATTGCAGTTACTCAGTATAGATAACGGAACATTGATGCTTTCATTTCTCTAAGATTTGAAATGCTTTTATAGACTCAGATGCATGAGTATCAAAATTGCTACAGTGAGCTTGATGAAACTGAAGAAGCTGACTAATATTTTATTCATTATCTAAGTAGAAAGACTCTTTCAATATATAACAGTGTAGGTTTTTTAAAAGAGTAATATGCATGCCCAATAAGATATTGGACAAGTAAATGTTCTTTTTTTGTATTTAAAAAATTGAGATGTAATTCACACATAACATTATATTAGTTTCAGGTATACAAGATAGTGATTCAATATTTGTATATATCGTGACATGATAATCACAATAATATTCAAGTTTTCAAAGCTTATATTATGAACAAACTATGACTATGGCGACCCATTTAAATAAAAATTGCATTGTTATTTTCATGGAATGTGTTTCCCTCACCACACACAAGCACGGCATTTTTTTCTTGTGATGGCAACTTTTAAGATCTACTTTCTTAACAACTTTCGAATATACATACAGTATTAATAACTATAATCACCATGCTGTACATTACATACTCATGACTTACTTATTTTATAGCTGTAAGTTTGCACCTTCAAACATCATTTTACTCTTTCCTCTGGCAACCACCACTCTGTTCTCTGTATCCATGAGCTCTTTTTTTTTAATACCACATATTTTAGTCAGTTTGCATGGTATTTCTCATTCTCTGACTTATTTCACTTAACATAATGCCCTCATGGTTCATCTATGTTTGCATAAATGACAGTATTTCCTTATTTTCTATGGCCTAATAATATTCCTGTGTGTGTGTATATGTGTGTGTGTGTGTATGTGTGTGTGTGTATGTATATTTCACATTTTCTTTACACATTCATCCATCAAAGGGCGTTTAGATCGTTCCTATGTCTTAGCTGTTGTAAATAATGCTGCAGTGAACATGGGGTGCAGGTATCTTTTCCAGTTAGTGTTTCTGTTTCTTATGGATAAATACCCAGAAGTGGAACCCCTCAATGATATGGTAGTTCCATTTTTAATTTTTTGAGGAGCCTTCATACTGTTTTCCATAGTGTCTGCACCAGTCTACATTCCTGCCACAGTGCGCATTGTCATATAGCAAATAAGAAGAGTGATGTAGAGAAATATAGAAGGATGTAGAATAAACTGTAAGATACGTTGTTAAGTAAAAAAGGGACAAGTAGCCGAATGATTAACACTGCATGCTCCCATTTGCCTAAATTCATAAAAGGCTATTTATAAATCTGAAGTAATACATGCAACAACTATTTCTGGAGAAGTTTACATCAGAAATCAGTGTGAGTAAAAGGCAAGATCTATGTTCCTCTGCACACTCTTTTTTATTGCCATTATTACATTATTTTTGCAAAGATATTGGCAAAAAATTATGGATAATTTCCATAATAACTATAATATGGACATAATAATATTCATAATTGTGGTTGTAGAACTCAATCTGCTCTTGTCCATCTTTCAACAAGCAGAAAATGAAGAAATCTATTACATGTAAACCAGTATATATTTTTGTCAGAATAAAACTGTAACTTGGTTCATATACAAGCACATGTACTTATGCTCTTTATCCTTTGACCTTGACTTATACATAGAGCACACACACACAAAACTTACTCTCTTTGAAGAAATCTCCATAGAAAGAATAGGAACTGGATCCTGAAAAATTAAAAAGAAAAGTTTCCTTTTTAAGAAAGAAAATAGAGGAACATACTTTGATATGATTATAAATCACCTGAAATCATGTAAGGTATGTGAGTGGTTCTATGCCAAGCAGTCTATGGATTTCATTTTAGTTAATTAATAGGAACTTACAATTATATTAAACTATTGCTTTCTTTTAAAAAAACTTTTCTCATGGAGTAGGACAGATCCATACTACATGAGAAAAGGAGTGGATAATCTAAGCAGCTTATTGTTTGTCTCTGGAATGCAATTTTTCTAGTTGGATTTGAACATTACTCATGCTTTGAAAACTCAAATATCTTTAAGTAAGAAAGTCAGAGTGCTCTTTCTTATAAAATAGATGAACCTTTGGAAGTGAAACAGTTTTGTCTTTGAATAGGTGTTACTGTTAATAAGCCATGTGATCTTAAATTGTTCAAACTATAGCAAAGTATTATTTTTTTTTTGGAGTTATGGTCAATCACTACGAACCCAGGAGGCTTTGAACGAGATGAATAACTTCATTGTCTTAGAATTGTAGCAGAGGAAGGATGATCTATTAACATAGTGGTGAGAGCCTTTGTGTTTTTCTAGAGATAGTTTTTTTTTGGAGTTATGGTCAATCACTACGAACCCAGGAGGCTTTGAACGAGATGAATAACTTCATTGTCTTAGAATTGTAGCAGAGGAAGGATGATCTATTAACATAGTGGTGAGAGCCTTTGTGTTTTTCTAGAGATAGTGATTGAGTAGTGTGTTTCTAAGGAGCACCACTAACTCCGATCAATTCTGCAAGTGGAGAAGCAATAGGCAGGTGGGACCCATACAGAGATCACTCTTCAAAGAATTATTTTTTGAAAGAGCAAATTTGATCCTCTACATCAACAAAAAAAATTTTTTTAACTACAAAACCCTTTATGCATTCATGTATGCACTGCATTCACTCAAGCAACAATGTTTCTTAAGGTTTTACATGAACAAGACACTGGAGGATGCTGTTCATCTGAGAGCTATGGACCCTAACATGAAGTGCAATCTTACATTGGGATTCCATGTGCAAAATAAGCAAAAGCAGGGCTGCTCTGATTGAGTTAGGAATGTGCTTAGCTTTGGTGTGGCTATGGGGAATCTAATCTCCAGGACACCCAGGGTGAAATGACTGTTTTTCAGCAATAAAATATTTTCATATATACTCATGATATACATATACAGTCAGTCTTCATTATGTGCAGATTTTGTTTGCATATTTGCTTACATGCTAGAATTTGTAACCCAAATATTCATGCTCAGGGTGTTTCGTGGTCATTCGCAGACCTGTGCAGGCAGAGATTGGCAAAAAATTTGAGTTGCCCAAGGTACACGTTTCCAGCTAAGGCAGATCAAAGTGATGCTCTGTCTTCTTGTTTCAGCTTTCATATTGTAAACACACGTCCTTTTCATGGTCTATTTAATGCCAGTTTTTTCACATTTTTGTGCTTTTTGTTGGTGATTTGGATGCTTAAATTGGCCCTAAGCACAGTGCTGAAGTGCTATCTAATGTTCCTAAGTCCAAAGGTGTGACGTGCCTTATGGGGGAAATAAGTGTGTTAAAAAAGCTTTGTTGAGGTGTGACTTATAGTGCTGTTGGCTGTGAGTTCAATGTCAGTGAATCAACAATGTGTATCACATAGGGTGTCTTTAACAGAAACACACCTAAAACAAGATTAAGTATTGATCAGTTGACAAAAATGCTGTGATTGAGACTTACAGGAATCTAAAGTTATTCTTCCCCTATGAACAATGGACAGTATGCACTAATTCAGGCTCCATGAAAGATCATAACTGCCAGGGTCTTTGGGACTTAATTCTGTGTGTGTGTGTGTGTGTGTGTGCGTGTGCGTATTTGCAAATATACAGTTGCTTTTGTCATTTCTCATCTTTTCACTATCATTTTGCATTTTTGTCCTTTCTAGATTCTAAATGTAATAGATATGCTATAATGAAACAGAATCCCTGTCACACCGGAACATCTAAAATATGAAACGTGGTGCTAATTTTTTATTATCTGTCTGATAATACTTTTGAGACAAGATGAGACTTTGTAATAATTATTCTGGAATTCATAAGTGGTATAAGTGTTCTTCTGTTTAGGCACAGTTCATATGCCGAAATTCTTTTCATGCTAGGCAAATATTGCCCTCTTCATTTGAATTGTCTATAACAATTAAATAGGTGCATGAAGATTTTAAGTCATTCCTCCCTGTAAGTCACTCTCAATTCACAATATACCTGTTAGAAAAAACTGAGATAGTGTCTTTCCTATTTTACAACTCATTTGTGATTGTCTGTAATACATTAATGTTGGATTTTTTTTTTTTTTAACTAAAAATACCTTGAATATCTGAAGTTCTTCTAGAATTACTTCTTCCATTGATTCTGTTTCCTGGTTGTAAATTGTGATTACTTTCAGCACAATTCCATTATCTGTAAGAAAGCAAAGGAAGCGATAAACTGGAAGCTTTGTCACAATCTGGTTTTCAAACAATTAAAAACCATGTAAGGATTGTGGATTAAAATAGGATTTGAAATCTAGATGCATGAAACATTTAACTATTGCTAATTAAAACAATAGGACAACTTACACATTTATATTTTCAATTAGCAAAAAAATTAACTTCATATACCTGGCCAAAAAGTAAGAGCAAATAATATACAGTTATTTTTCAAACAATTTGATTCAAACATCCTACTAAAGGTTCAAAAATGAAAACGTCTCTTGGAATTAATGAAATACAGGACAGATGATAAATTATTCTAGCTGCTTCTGTGATATATGATGAAAGGAAATTTTTTACTTAAAGTTATTTTCATGGTAAGAAACTATACCTTTAATCTTAGGGAAACTTCTAAGCAACATACTATGAAAATCTCCACATATAAAGATGAAACACTTCTGATGTGTGTGTGTATGTATACATATATATATATATATATACACACACACACACATACTTTTAATAAGAAAAATTTCAAGTATATATTACCAAAAGTATGACTTCTCCTGTATGAATTAACTTCATAATTATTAATGATTTTATAAATTAGTATTCATATTTAAAAATGTTTAAATATTTGAATATTTTTATTTATAAAAATATTTAGAATTATTTATTTATATTTTATTAAAGTATTTATTTTAATAAAATTTTCAATATTATTCCTGATATTCTGAGTTTGTTCTTTGCAATGAAAAATTCAATGTTAATAAAATTAGATTAAAATAAAACTAATAACAATGATCTGTACTGTACATTTAAGAAACACAAATGATCACAACTTTTAACACCAAGCACACATACTAAGTATTCCACAGTTGTTATGTCAAGGAAAAAAACAAAGATGAAACTCAAATTATTAATTTGCCACTAGTGATTTTTGCAATAAGGACCATACACACACAAATACAGTACTAAAGCATGTTGTCTAGTAAATTCGGAGAAAATATCATTTGTGGATTTTTTCAATGTTGTACTCATCACACATTCATCAAATAAGTTCTTTTGTGTTGAAAAGCTGTGGTTTAACATAATGGTATCTTTGAGGGAAATATTGTTTATATGATAGCATAAGTCTATACCTGATATTTCTGGAATTCCCTCAAGTAGCTTTGGTCAGTCTAACAAGACAGTTTTCTGAAAGCATTCGTAGACTGATATATATGACTTCTACTTTTCAGGGCATTTACAAATAACATACATTTTTTGATGACTGGTTTTATCAAATATAACTCTTGGTTATGTAACTCGCTTTTTCCCCCCCTAACTCTGTTGGATGTCCCTGTGAGTGAATTCCTGGCCAGGTAATTTGAAGTTTGTTAAAGAAATCTGATGCTTTGTTGATCTTGAACCCACAGTGCAGAGCAACATTAACATTCTAAAATAAATGGGCAAAATATAGCCTGTGCCAGAGATCAATTTCTGGAAATCTGATAAATGTTTCCTTACTTAACTCTGCTTTTATAAAAAGTATGACTGGAGAAGCTTAAGCACTAACATTAGTGTTATATCCTGATTACTGATCTGGGCATATGAAATCAATGTCTCTTTAAAACTGTACATCTATGATTGAAGTTATACACAGTAGAATGCTTACTCTTCTAAATAGCAATTGCTGTAGCCATTACTATGATGCTTATGCAAAAAGAAAAAAAGGATAATTTTAAAGGCTTTCAAAATGACTACAGTATTTTAAAGTACCTGATAGAATTCACTACATACTACTCTCGATACTCAAAGATTCCAAGTTTTCTTCCACAAGATAGATCTCATGTTTAACATTAACTGAAATTATAGATTTATCTGAACATTTCACTTTTAGCATATTTATTACAGTTGTTTTACTGATGCACAATATTATAGATTTGGCCAAAAAGTTTACCTCCCTTACAGATAACACTTCATTTCACTTTTAGCATATTTATTACAGTTGTTTTACTGATGCACAATATTATAGATTTGGCCAAAAAGTTTACCTCCCTTACAGATAACACTTAGCCTGCTGCATACAAATAGTTGATTCTGATAGAGCCTGATAAGTATTGCTATGATTGTAGGTTTAGGTGACGTTAGTGTCCCAAGCTTGAAAAATCTTGAGACCTTACTGACAGCCAGAGGCAGAGTGGACCTGGGGGAATGGACAGGAGAACAGTCCTGACAGTAGGTCCCCTTCTTCCTCAGAAGTTCTATTTGGAACTAACATTGCTTGTTAACATCAATTATTCGTTCCTTCATGTACTCATTTGTTCAAGTGTACTGACCATGTATCAGGAATTATGTGCTATAACTGCCCCCAAGCCTCTCTCCCATTGCAGTGGGTATGCAGTGTGAAAATGAGCTAATGTGTCAACAGATTTGTTGATTGGTGTCTTTTTTTTTTTGTTTAAAGGTTAGTAATGTTGTCATTTTCATGTTCAATTTAAATGTCTCTGAGTACTTTCTAATCTCTTTACCTGTTCCAATAAACAAGACATCATATTGACCATCCTCAGCTTCCACGTGATCCACTGCTATTTGTTTCAGATTGTATTTTCCATCTGTTTTTACCAGTATTGGTTTCTTATGGGCAGGCTTTATGGGCTCGTACATAAGTGGATGGCTTCTTGCAAATCGGATGGCATCATCAGGATAGTCTTTAGTGGTTCCATACCTCCCTCCATTCACTTTGCTGGCACACTGAAATACAAGTGGATGAGATATATTTTTTTGCCTTACACTTACGGAGCTAATTTATAATCAATTATAAAAGCAATGAGAAAAACAAATTTGGGTTTGTTCAATTAATCAACTGTGCATTAAAAAATATTTAGTATCCATATTCTTCATTACAGAAATGAAATATGCATTAAAAACTGCAAAGAGAGACCAAATTGTTTCAAACATGCAGCTCTTGAAATATTTGTAAAGTGGTGAAATCTGGAAGAGTGAAACATATTTAATATTGGTACAGTTTGGAAGTGGTAAAAATGTAAACATCTTAAATATTGTAATTATTTTCCCTATTTTCTGCAATTAATTTTTTCTCATTGTAAATTAAAATTTGAAGGTGAACAATGTATTGTTCCTAGCAGAACAAAAGGCTCTTTATTGTGCTAAATCCTCTCCCTAAAATAAGATCACGATTAAACACAACAGCTTTTCCATAATTGAGACTGTGGTAATATGATTGATGATAGCTCCAATTATCTCACTGACTAAAGAATCTTAGTACTGTAACACAGAAACCTATTCAAATTCCTCATTGTTAATTAAGAAAAAAAACCTCTGTTCTATGGTCATCTGTATGAATTTGTATTATATTTGTTTGGATTAGACACAATAAATCGAGAAAGCCAGAAATACTTGCTGTAACATTTCTCTGTTCTTAAATCACTGATTTTAAAAATTAATGTTCAAGAACACTTCAGTTACTTTGTGGAACACCTTTAACCCTGTTGATTCATGCTTGTTACCAAGTGCTCCTTCATTTTGCATAGTTTCCTCCACAATCAGCAGCATTACAACAATTATCTTAATAAAAAAGTTTCCACTTTAGAGTATAAATCCAGTAGTTAGTAATCAGATTCTGCAACGAGGGCATTTTAAATGGCTTGTTTTCAGTATTTAGGCCGTATTTCTTAATGTGGCCTGAATTTTTCACTTGCTTGTACTTCAATGACATGTAATTGGAAACATTTTGGACCAGCCTGGAAACAGTTCAGTAACCAGTCACTTCCTCCAAATCTCCTTTAATACCATGTGGTTTCAAGAAGCTTTTCCAGCAAAGCCACAGGAGTGGGTTTTCTCCATTTAAATTGTAATTTCAATCAATAGAGTGAAATAAAATATATTTTATATGTTAGTGGAAGTAATAATTTTAAGCTAGTGTGAGTGATTGAAATGGTAAAGCTTTACACTTGTTAATGGAGGTAGGTTTGTTTCCACTTTGGATTTTGGCTCTGCAAAAATGATTTCTACTTGACTTGCAAGTATGTGGGGAATCAGCATAATGATGGGTTTTCACCAGCTGCTCATGAAAGTGTAGGCTTTGACTTGCATGATAAGTTAAATGTTCATTCTCCGTGGCCCACATAGCACATACAATGATCCTGCATTTTTCCAGCCTAGTCGTGCAGAAGATGCATGATACAAAATCATCGTCATTATCATCATCATTTTTAGATACATGTGCAATTAGAAACACAAAAGTTTGAATGGCCTGTTAGGGAGAATCTTAGTAGTAGCAATTTAGAGGCAAGTGGTGGCATTTCCTGTACTCTAGCAACACTTCTGTATTGGAACTTTTCTTCTAGGAACCAGAAAATATATTAACTGAGATCCTAAGTATTCTGACAGGGCAGAGAAAAAATTCCTTTTAGATATACTAAAATGAGAAATAAGGAGAATATTTGGCCTAGGAACCTAGAGGCTGATCCAAATATTGAAATATAAAAATTTGGTAACATTCTCTTGTTTGGAAATTCTATGTGGCACTAATTCTTCTGAAAAGCCTGGGAGGAATAGGTTGCTTTTACTGGGTGATTCTGTATTAATCTGTAACCTTAAAAATAACATTTTAGTTGGGGCTTAAAGGTAAAATATAATTGATACATATTCTTTATAATGCTGCTAAAATGTATCCATCACAGATTGTTTTCATTCAATAACAAACATACAACTAGATATGAGGTGGTATTTCTTAAGCAAAGGATTAGGTACAGAATTTCTTAGTTCTTTAATGCAAGGTTTTGTAAAGCATCTGAAACACTGAACAAAATCTTTAAAAAATAAGAATATTTGTTAAATGTCTAAACTTACAGAACCAGGCCTTGGATATGGGACTTTCCCTTCATAGAGTGACCAGTGGTATTCAGGTCCTTCCTTATGTGCGTACGGTCCATTAAAAGCTGCCCGGATACTAGACATATGATAGACACAGAGAGCATGGCCTCTGAATATATTACTGAAAAATACAAAAAAAAAAAGATAATTATTACTCTGGAACTGAGTAGGAAGTGAAGCCCTCCAGATAAGGGGTTCAAATTAGGATGAATTCTTTTGGGTAAAAAAAGCTATAGTCTCTTAAGTAAAGAATATTCTAGAAATATTATTTATTTTAGTATGTCAAGTACTGAAACTCCAAAACTTACTATTTCTTTGTCTTTTTACTATAATAAATTGAAAATGATTGTCAGAATAAAAAAAGTACTTGTGTCACTTCATTTTACTATTGTTAAATTTAATGTTGTGTTTTCATATTTTTTATGAAGGAAGATATGGCCTTAATATTTAAGAGTCATTCCCAAGTTCAATTATTCATTTTAAGGTTTTATCTCCTTGTATGTTGTTCCCTACCCAGAGAAAACAGTGTTCTCCCAATCACCATGCTGAAAATACTGCTATAAATTCTGTTCAAATTTATTAGATTTCTCAGTGTATGTGATCTGAATAACAAGCTAAAGTTTCATGAAATTTTGGGGCTTTGTTCCATTCTTTACAATGGAGCCACAGAGATATTAATATGCTTTCCATATATTGCTTCCCCCAGGTCACTAAAAACTGTACTATAGTGGAAAGGTAACTAGACTGAACTAGATTACTTTTGGGAAAATGATGTAAATATATAAAATTCAGATTCTTTACTTTAGAACTAGAAGCAACTAAAATTTTTCTTGATAAAAATTTCTTTTAGATGATAAAGATAGTAGTTGACTATAGCTAAGATTCACTGGGGCATTTGCAATAAGATTCTGCAAAAGAACAATTTAAAATGATTTGTTTCAGAAAATTGGCCCTCTGTCTTACTTTGGCATAACTTGAATGAATTCTAACATTTTCCCAGAGTCCCCTTATCATCTGACCCTGAAAATTAGAATAGTTAATGTTTGTGAAAATGCTTTGCAAAATGCAAAGTTCTTTAGAAAAGTTTTTACACTATGAGACATCTGTAGAACAGCAGCTGTGTTACTCTTAGGACATCAAATTTTATAACACACCTTTAAGCAATTGGAAATGCCTGCAATAGTGAGGAAACCAGAGATAGTCTCCCAACTAAAGAGGTAATAAACCTTTGATCACCATGCTACAAATAACAACCTTTACATCAGATAACAGCTGGGAAGTCTTTTTCTCAGATTTATGTATAAATTGAACAGTCACAATTGAAATAATGGAAGTAAATAATGTGCAATTGAAATCTAGACAGATCTAATATGCTATCATTTAGGAAAGTAGCTTATAAACTGATGATACAAACCCACAGAGAAATGATTCTGCTATCCCACAGATTGTATTTATCATACGAAACTGCAGAATTACCATACAATGAATAAATTCTTCACTTGCCTAAGGGAGTAGATGAAGTTAAAAAAAAAAAAGGTAGGGATTTTCCATGGACTGTGAAAATCACCAATATGCATTAACTAATTTTCTTTGTATCAGGGAATAATTGATAGCAAAATTGTTTCCATTTTTCTTTGTTGAAGAAAAGGTCTCCTCACTATACTAGTTTACTTGTCCAAGGAGCTTTGTTATTTTTTTCAAAGTGTTCATAAGAAATCACTTGCTGAAAAACTAAACAAAAGCTCTGTGGAGAAACCCCTAATCAAACAAGGTGTACGTGACTGTGTCACAGCGTAAGGCCGGTGCAATGCAAAAGATGGGCTGAGTTACACTATTCTATCCCTGTCAAGGGAACTGAGGTATACTGTTTATTTCTCATTCCAGTCATCTTGCCTCCACTCCGCCTTTTGTGGAAAGACACTCAAAAAGTTATATATATATAAACTTCCATACAAAACTGATTCAAATAACATTTTTTCATTCATGTATCAACACACATGAAATACTTGAATCATTTTCCCAGCACCTTCAATGGATACAAGATACAAAAATGTAAAAGAGAAGAAGTGATAGGTGGTCACCCCTAACCTTGAGTGGCTTATTTAAATTTAAAATATGTGAGGCAAATCATAAGCATGTGTCCACTATGAAGCTAGAGAGCAGAGACAACCAGAGTGAAGGAGAGAACAAAGTGCTGGGTGGTCAAGGACTCAAGGACTATTTCTTGAAGATGGCAACTGACAAGTACTGGAGAACTGGTACACATTAGTGTGGGATGAGAAAGTCAGCTGCAGCAAGGGAAGGGGGCAAATAAAGCCAGAGAGATGGGAGCTAGTGACATGGACACGGGGATTCTGTCAAGGCTTTATCTTGTCAAAAGCAGGGCATTAGAGACCTTAGAGGAAAAACTCCCAAAGCCGAATGGGAAACAGTAGATAGAGAGTCCCGGGAGCCTGACAGAAAATTCTGTATGATGATTAAAAGAATCACCCCGGATTTATAGCATAAAGCTAAATAGAGGATGCTGGGGTACTCCAAACAAAAACAAGTATGGATCTGGAATGAGATCATGGCTTTAGAAACAAAAGAACAATTGCAAACATAGGAGAACAAAGAGAAACTGGAAAAAATGAAATGACAATGGGTGAACGGAATTTCCAAGGTACATACAAGGTGACGGGGTGAGGCATGTTTTGTTTCAAAATGTTTTCATTGACTATATAAATGTCTCACCTGGTAGTGTTAAAGAGTCCAAATATCACTGGGTTCTTATGATCTCTGGTAGGCAGCAAAAAAACATCCTCTGACAAATTAAAGATCATTACATTAGTCAGCATTTTCAGTCCTCTTCTCTTGTAAAGAAAATATATTGACATTAAAAGATTTGAAACCCATTGCAGACCTCAAGATACAAATTTCCATGTACAGTCATACAATGATGACTAAACCCCAGCAGAGTGATACCTTTGCTGTTCAGGATGGCTTTGAGCTGGGCCTCAGAACCAGAGGCACTGACTCTAAGCTCATGAGAGGGGTCTCGTTTGTTCCTGCAGCTCCTTTGCCCCCTCCACCACCCCCACGGACCTGGCCAAACTGGAAGAACAGAAACTTGCTCTGAGTTAGACAGAAGTCAAATCCTGCAGAAACCAAGTTTTCATACGTGCTAGAGACCCTGAGGGCTACAGAAAGGCATATTCATCAAAGAGTAAAACTTAATTCTCCCTGTAAGATTTACCTAATTCATCAAAATATGTGTCAATTCCATTCATTCCTGGTACTGAGCAAACCAGTCTTGCTTTTAGGAAAGTGCTCCACTTGTTCACCAGTATTCTCTGTCCTCCTGCATCATTCTGTGAGGAAAAAAAAAAGCAGGTCAGTGTCTATCTAAGAACTTTCACACACACATTTACACACAACATACATATAATACATATTCACACACATGCACATACATGCATATATACATGCATGTATAAATCTCTTAAATTTATACTTAAGTATCTAAATAACTTACATTTGCACTATTACTAGTATTCTCTTGTTATATATTGCTACTTTTGCTGGTTTTGACTATTCCTAAACAATCTATCTGAATACCCAACAAACTACAGATGCCTTTTCTGTAAAGTCAACCAACTGAATTGTTGAAACATGCTTATGTAAATTACTTAGAATGCAGAATACAGAAATTAAAAAGATTTTGGTTAAGTTAATTTTAGAAAATGGAACACAAACTTTTGTGTGGGAAGAAGTATAGCCTAATTATAAACTGTTTCTTCTTACTATGGCTTTGAAAATGGGGAAAAACCATACAAAATACAAAGCTCTCTTAAGAAAACACTTCTGCTAGATATAAAATATAAAGATTAGATAGTAAATACCAGTTTTAGGCAACCTACAGAATACTAGAAAATATTTTAAAGTAGAAACCCACTATAAAATTAACCAAGGCCTAATCATAAACTGTGAGATGAGCTTCATGAGACAGAAGTGCAGCCCTTACCACGCAAAGCCGTCCCACTCTGGTGTAAATTGCGTGGGCATTGTTTTCTGCCTCCAGGGCCTTCTCAGTAAAAAAGAAATACACTTTGTTGTCATCTCGGTCTTCATTGTCAGGAATCATATATGAACCTACAAATTTTGGTTCTATAAGAAAAAAAAGATCTAGCTATTACCACGAAATCGTGTTATTCAATACATTACACATCACATGAACATTTAACTTTTATCATTTCATTAAGAAATATTTTCCTTGAAATTTTGTAGGTGTTTCCATTTCTTTGTGTATCAACAGTTTTTTTAGAAACATTAGAGGAAAATTTAATTGGAAGATAAAAGAGTCAGGGAGGGAAAAAAAACAATTTAAAACAACTTTCCTTTCAGACTTGGAATGCATTCAAAAGGACAGATTAGGGGTGCCATTGTAATAATCTCCATAAATTTCCTCCCATATGTATAAAAAGTTAATGTAAATATATGTAAAATATTTTAGATGAGAAGTCTATCATTTTTTTTTAAATTCATAAACTACCATTTTAAGGTGGAAAATAAGAGTTTTTGTGTTTGTAGTCTAAGGGATTTGAACGAATGACCTTTGATTGATATGGTAGTTAAATATTTTTAATGCTAACATAATGCCAATAATGCCTTTGCATTCTGAAGCTTAATAAAAAGGCTGAACATAATGAAACACCATAAAATGAAGATTTAGTCCCTAGATAAACAGTATGTCAAAATGTGAACATTATTCCTTACAAGGAGTTCAATATCAATGAATGGCTAGCGATTTCACTATAATTTTACATCCCAAGTGCAATGGAATCCTCTTAAAACAAGCAAAGTGAAGCAGTTTATCCAAAATTATACTAACTGGCAAGAGAAAACGAAAATTTATTGGATGAAAGGATTTTTCACTTTTCATGTGTTTACTTTGTTTCCTTCACTTAAATCCTGATTTTCAAGCATTACTATAATTTGGTTTCATAATAAAGCCAATTCCCTCCGATATAAAAGATATGTATATGTAAAATGTTTTAATTCAGGAATATTGCCAAGGAAAGAAATCCTGGGATTTGTAAACAGTGTAAGTTACATTTGTGTTGTTATTATTATCAAATTGTAAGTTTCCCGTGCGTTCTAGACTTGTTTTCAATTCTTATTTGCATACCCATTTTTCCCCAACCTTACCTTTCAACAGGCGCTCATCGTCGTGTTCCGTGCGAATATGCGCCAGTCTCCCCAAGCTCCGGAAGATCGCAGCGTCTCTGCCCCAGTAGTCACTGTAGAGGCCAGTGAACAGTTCACTACCTATGTGGGCACGGAAGTTAGAAGTAAGTCAGCACATGTCTCTGGATCTGACAACAATGTATAAACCACATATCCAGATTCACTGTGAATAGGACTTGGGGAATTAATACTCCTGTTGAGAGCACGGATGGTACAGTCAGCCTGCCAGCGCTTGTATCCTGAGCCACTTACTAGCTGTGTGAACTTGCACAGGGTGCTTCATCTCTCTGTGCCTCAGTTTCCTTATTTACCAGTAGGGCTAGCACTCAAGAGTGTTACTTAGAGTCACTGGTATATGCTAAGACCTCTGTGAGTATTTGATAAATAACCTGGTTTCATCTTATCTTCCTAAATGTAACTTTCACATCACCAGGGTTTCATTATCATCATTATTGGTATTAAGGTGACAGCTAACTCAAATCCTTCTTGTAACAAGAAACTGCTTCCAATAACATGATTTTAGGGCAGGAACCACAAAGTTTGGTCAAATTATACATAATCCAATTAGTTGTCATTTAATTTATAAGTCTGTGGCTTAGTTAGATTGGAAAGATATAAAAAGTTCATAATTTAATCAGGCAGGCAGAGCATGAACCACATTAGCTGCAACATGTGGGGGAGGATGCAAACTTAAAATCAAACCAAAGAAAACACAAATATTTGTACGGTCTCAAGAAATGATAATGTGTCTTTGGAGCCAGCCAGAAAAAAAGACATTAAAATAGTTTATGGAAAGAGAAAAAAATTTTAACAAATAGAAAATAATGTAAGATACACCTGGAACTGCAAAGACGAACACCCCTCAGGCTAGGGACTTGAAATTCTCTTTTGTCAAAGTGACAACAAAAGGTAGTCAGCATGCCCACTAGATGTGCTAGAAGGACTGTCCTGGGCACATGCAGCCAGGTGTTCTGCCCCGGGCAAAAATCTCTAGCCAAGAAGCAAATTAGAGCATCAGATCACTGGAAAGAACTACTTCAATTTAGGGTAGTAAAATGATTTTCTTTTCTGTGAGTGCCATCTATCTGGTCAGGGCTAAAAATACAGAAATAATGAGTACCTTGAACTCCGAAGCATGAATGTTTTTCTGTTAAATGTGGAATATGCACACATCACATTTAAAGTTTAAGAGAATTCAAATTGTATTTCCAGTTTAATAAATTTCATTGTATACTCAATTTTAGAATTCAAATTATTAAAATTACAGGCATAAAAATTTGAACAAGTATAGAAACAGAATTTATTGGTTATATATATAACTTCTTTGCTTTGATTTTAAAAAATTGTTTCGGTATTTATAAAAGAATTTTTCTGAGGTAAGGTCTTTAAAATGTAAAATTGAATAGATTAAATATATTTGTAAGGTTTACAATTTGAGAAAGCCACTTACTGAGTTGTAAAGAGGAAGCTTTGTAAGTAAGTTTATTTGTAACGAGTTGACTGACTTAATTTTTAAAAAGTAAAGATAATTACATTTGTTATACCAGATTTAGAAATAGAATAATTAGATGTAAATTGAATTCAAAGGCTTAACTATAAGTTCTACTTACAAAACACAAGCAACTTGTAAATAGCTTTCTTGGTTCACAGTATTTACTCTGCATACTTAAAAACTATATATAATACAAATAAATAAAACCTAAGTTTCCCACAAAGGAATTCACTTTTAAACTACTATATTACATATGATAGAGAAAAAGAAATGCATATGTGGTAGAATATTAACAAATGGGGTGTCAGGATAAATGGTAGAAGGTCTAATTTTACTTTTTTCAGCTTGTCTTTGATATGAAAATTATCAATATAAGTTAAAGAAAAAGACTTATTTTGTTAAGTTCACCCCATATATTAATGTATGGTAAGTGAGAGGTATGATAAGGAAAACAACACAAACAGGAAAAAAGGATGCTTTATATCTGGACTTAAGAAAGTATAATTTGGGAAGAAAAGTTTTATTAGAACTCTTATTTAAGCATGTTCTTGTACCTTAATATAATTTTTAAAAAAAGGATTAAAGAAAAAGTCTACAAAAAAGCATGCATTTGGGTAATAGAGGCAGAAAAAGGCATCAAAATCAATTAGCACATTTGCACCAGAAATTTTATATCTGTACATAAAGAAAGAGAATTTTGAAATAAATTATATCCAGTGGTTAGGGCTGTGAATATTTGTGGGGTTCAGTCTGCACAACTTGCACATGGATGAAAGACAGTCATGCTGAATTCATTAAAAGGCCTTGAGGATCATCAGCTTTGGTAAAAATGAACCACTCAACCCACAAAAGAGTTAACCAAGTACTGAACCGCTACCGTGAGGGTTTTTCTGAAACATTTTTGTTTTTAATTATTATACTTGATTGCATATATCATATGAAATATAAAGACTATTTTGTAAAATTCTAAAAATAACTTATTTTTCTAATGTGGACTAGGCTGAATGTTTAATGCATAATGGGTACAAAAATAGATTTAAAAATCATGACGGTTTTCTGTTTTTTAAGATTCTACTAGGTAAAATATTTCTAGGACTTTGAAAATATTATTATGGAAAAATATTATAGTAGTTCACATAAATTTTATTGCATGTATCCCAATTTGGAACATTGTTTCAAAGTTCTACTTGCCCTAATCAAGTTTATAAACCTAACAAACAAGTACTCCATGTAACCACTAGATGGCAACCATATGATGCCAAATAATACCACAGCCAGGGAAGGTTATCTGCACAAAGGGAAAGGTGATATAATATTGATTTTACCCTATTACCCTTTTTGTACCCAGATAAAAAAATATAGTTTGTGAAAAATTCAAATGACACAATATGAATTATATGACTTACACTTCAAAGAAGCTCAGGTGCTAAAAACTATATGCTATGTAAACTGAACCAAATGTGTCTCTGTTGGAAACATTAGATTTGCCTCAGAAAGGAAAGATTCTCCTTTCATATCTTATGTCAGTGTGAAGGACAAAATAAATCCATAGTAATAGATTATAATGGTGTTTGGCAAAATACTTTTCTAAGAAAAAATAAATATATTAATGAAATATAATAAATTAGAATAAAGCTTTAGGCACAAATGTTACCTAACAGGAACTAAAAGAGCAAAAATATTCATAATAACTGATACTCTTTACAGTAAAAACATAGTTTACAAGTGAAAAGTTTACTTTAAAATTATAATCATTTTATACCCAAAATTATAATCATTAGAGAAAATTTGTGAATCAAAATATTTTACAGAGCAAAAACATATGGATGAATCACATTTTCATGGATTAAAAAAGATTTCATATAAATAGCAAAAATGTTTTAGAGTTTCAATGGTAATAACAGAACTACCCAAATTTTTATTTTCTATGTGTATGGAGACATGATATTTAATAAATGTACGTAGCCATACATTTTAACTGGTATCTAATCTACTATTATATTCTGAATATCAATAACCAATTTGATTTTTATGTAATATAATATCTTTTATTGTTATAGCACTGACTTCTAACAGTAACTGATGTTAATTTTAGATGGTCAAGTATGGTCATAATTAAAAAAAAACACATCTGCAGGTTATTTTGACAGGTGAATGTAACTTATCACTGTCATGCTCAACAACAGTCTCTATGTACAGACACAAGAATACTGGGAATAGTACTTCACTGGAAATCTTACAAACTAAGCCCAAAGCTTGAAATTTGCTCTTTGACCATGGCAGAACTGTTCAACACCTCATGGTCTTGATTACCTGCAGAAGCAGAGACCTGCATGGGATTTTTTGAGCCTGCTAAGCTTTTCTGTCCTCTCTGCTGCCCTCTTTGTTGCCTGGCATTCTGTACCTCCCTTCCCACCTCACCTCCCATTTGTCTGCCTATTGCCCACTTTCTCCATGAAGCCTTCCTTCCTTGACTAGTTTTGTTGTTTGGTGGTCCCCAGTACCACCACATCCCTGTGCCTATTTCTATCATGTTGCTAGCCCTACTATTTTTCATTGGCTCCTCACTACACCCCACTACAATGTAGGCTTCTTGATGCATCTTGTATGTTCTTTTGTCCCCAAAATCTTGCACAGTATCTGGACTGCAGAAAATGTTCAATAAACATAGGTTGAATCAACAAATGACATAATGAATTAATATGTGAATATATCTAAAACTCATTTTAGGCGTTTAAAATACAAAGCTATGAAATGCAATAACAATCATTCAGTATAAGATTTTGATTTTTCAAAACTGCTTCAGGGAGAAAATATCAAAAGACAGAAAAAAGCTATTAGGCATTTATATGAATAACCAAGTTCTTTGAAATTTTGCTCCTCAAGAAGCCTATGCTATTTAAAAATTTTAATTCATGAACACAGGGGTTCTTATTTTCTTCTAGTATTTGTCCCTAATAGTTTCATCCCCAAAAGACTGTGCCTACACTAAACTATGTATATGAAAGAAAATAAAACAAATCATTTGACTCTTGGCAATACAAAAAAAACCAAATCCATTGTAAATAACTCTAAATTAAAATGCAAAATTCAAATACTTTCCTACGTAATTCCCTTTTTACAATACAAACTCTAATTGAAGTTTTGAACATATTGCATTGCTGTAATATTTTATGGAACTTATAGAACTTTGTCCATGGATTATATATTGATTTATTGGAGGTTTTATGCAACCATGTTGGACATACAGACTTCAATTGTTTAGTGAGTAAAACTGACAGTAGTTTTCCATGCCCTTCTTATCTTCTTAAGTTTTACTCCAGCATTTCTCCTATTTATATTGTATATGTCTACAAATCTAAATGGTGAGAAACGTATTTGTCTCATGGAAAGCACATGGCTAAAGACTGATACATGCCTCACTTTATACCTGAATTGTGTAATTTTGTTGGAAAATCATTCTACTATTTTACACACAACATTTTGCAGAATGACTATGACATGAGTAAGTGCAAACAGAAACAAATGCACTGGGGAGGATGAAGATGGATAAAAATGATTTATGTATTCTGACATCCCAGGTCTGACTCACACTCTGTTTAGGATGCTGAAAGAAACTGGGAAGAACGTGTCTTTTTGTCAGTTATGAAGTTGTTGGTTGGACTTTCTGTGCGGTTTTTGTTTGGGCAGATAGCTAGCATTAGCTATCAACATTGAGAAGCTGGATTCTGAGACATGAAGGAAAACAGAAAGTGCATTTTGAGTCTGTTCATTTGCATTTGCTGGCACTCAATGAGAACTCGGGTTTTTTTTGGTGGCAAACCACTGGCACTGATACCAGCATGCCCCTAAAGAAGAGAATGTCAGTGGTGAGTTGCAAAGGAGGACTTGTTTTTCCTTGTATCTTTTTAAAAATACTGTTTTGTCTTGAGGAAACCATAAGCAAAGCATTCAAATAGCTCCTTAGAGACAACCAGTTACAGCCAGAAGCCAACCGTAAGGATGTGGATAATTGGCATTTTGCCAATGTGAGAGAGCAGCAGTCTTGGATAAGGAATTACAGATACTCTTCAGGCACAGGAACGTTGTGAGGGAGTTTAAGTCTAAGTTTCTATACACTTGGGATGAAGTCAAGAAATGAGCCAGCACACATCCACTTGTTACGTTTAGAGCTATAATTCTAAAGGCATACATTTTATCTTCATCCTGAATTTTCATTTATTTTTCTAATATTTATGAACTCCTATTTTGTGCCAGAATATTCTTTCATAACTCTGCCTTGAATATATAGTTAATTAAAAATAACAAAGTTTTAAAGATTTTAAGAGCTTGAAACAATCACTTAGATTTCCCCTATATGTTTTCTAACTCCCTGTCAATCAACATTGTGACCTTTAATTCATAGAATTTTTAATGAGGAGACATATTTACAAAGATTCCATCATTATGAGTAAACTTAGAGGAAGAAAATTTCAGTGGCTGTAAATATAATTTTATTTGCTGAAAAAAGTAACAGGGGACAAAAAAGCATAGAAAGAAAATATAAGTGATTGTAAAATATGTATTCATTGCAATAAAATTTAGTAAGCCTTTAACTTGAGAAGAATCCTAAAACCATCCCAACAACAAAGCTAATACTTTCAAATGTGATAATGTTTAAAGGTACATAACCAATCAGAGTGTTTTTTCCCCAGTCGTATGCACATTAGCATACTGTAGGCATTTCAGTAATGGTGAGTTTTAAATTACACCTGGAACTGGCAATACAAATCCAAGTTAAAACAAAACATTAAAAAAATAAGGCAACAGAATAGGGAGGGCATGATGTAAGGGACATCCTAAAGTTACTGAAAGTGTCATCAATTTAATAAGGAGAATACTATATTATATCAAACATAACTGATGGAAGAGTCAGCTAATATTTTTCCTTCCTGGCCAAAATGACATATGATGTAAACAAACTATTTCCTGACTTTTTATTTGGCCCGTCACCCAACCTTATAATTTAGTGGAAAGATACATACTAAGCATTTTTGGATGAATTGAAAGGTATAGGCAGGTAAGGTAGCAATTCATTTTACTAAATAATCCATGATTTCAATGGATTGTTTTTAAAACCAGGTTGTAATATCTTATATTCTTCAGTCACTTACTTAAGACCATTTTAAATATAATCACAGTAAGGGGAAAATGTTACTACACATGAAGAAATAATGCACCTGTGATATGAATTTATATGCCACCAAGATAAATCATATTAATACAAAGTAGCATTGGAAGAACAACCCTAATTAATATATCATTTCATTTCAATTGGTTTCTGAACATACAGAACAGAGCTCAATGGGAGCTTGTTTTATTCCTCAAATCCTGTGTCACCCAGAGTCCACTGCAAGTTACTAACATTTCATTTCCAGACTACAAATTTTTTTAAAAATGTTTGTTAACTTGTTTCTCATGTAGCAAAAAACCTTCATTTTTTTACTCAGTTTTTCATTTAACTGAATTGAACTGCAATGAAAATTGTATCTTAAGAAATTCTTAGAACTTCTCTGGTTTACAAGCATGTGGATTTGTTTAGAGACCTTGCTAGTTTTATAAGTTTGTTACAAATTTGAGTTTCTTATCATGAAAGCACATCTTCATGTGAACAGACACTGAACATGAAGTGTAACCTCTAACAAAGAAACAAAGATGGTGCATAGTCTAAAGATGATCATCTTTTTGCTACAGTCTTGTCCTAACTCAACAGAGAACATTTGTGGCCATAAAATACCACACTAATGCATTCTTTCCCTGTCAGAGTAAGCTACACTGAGGTTTTTGCCAAATTCCAACTCAGGTAGCTACATTTTTCCAGTGCAAATTCCTGCTGCTCTTTCAATTGGGTGAATTATTTCGACTTCCTTTCCTTTAAAGAGCTGCTGGCTCACATAGGTTATCAGGTTTCTACCCCAGTGGCAGCTACATATCCACAGTGAGTGAATGATGTCTCAGAGGTACTTTGGGATGAAAGCTAGTGGATAAATGTGAAGAATTATATTTTTATTTCTTCTCTTTGGAGGGATTATTCTACAACTTTTGTGTTTAGCTTGGAGGGCTCTCATGATTTGATTTCTCTTCAGAATAAGTGAAACAGCCACCCAGATGGCAGGCACTTCACATCTCAGCGCAGTGTAATTCGATTTGGAAGTTCAATGAAACTCACTTGGAAATGTCCCTCCAGTAATATTTCCTCTCTTAAAAAAATCAGCTTTAAATTCCTGGTTTCATGCGTAAACAAGCTCTGGGGAGGCTTAGTGGTGAGTGGCTCAAGAAATCAGTTTTAACCTTTTGAATGAAATGCTAAAAATAAATGGTGTTCTTATCTCTTTAGGATTAAGAAGTCATGTTTACTGTATAGTTTTTAACTCTCAATGCCATTTATAATATTCTTATTAATAATATCCCAAATCTCATTTTTTGTTTGTTTAGAAGCCCAGTTAGTATTCCATTCTGTTAATTTTTAGAGGAGGCCTATTCTGTGCAGATGCTGTATGATGAAAGATGATGGAAAAATCTCTTTCAGATATGTCTTAAATCTATGACATTACATAAAAGCTCTAAAAACATTAGAAAAAAATTGGATGAGTCTCTCTAATGCATGTATTTCAATTCATTTGCTGACAATCTTCTAGGAATTTCTAACATTTATGAATCTGGCATTCACAAAAGTGTCATTCCTGAGGTTTTGATGCCTACTGTCTAAACTGATAAAGGCAACTCTACTTTCATATTTAAAACCTCCCTTTCTCATGTTCTGTTTACACACACACATATACACATACATACACATGGGACAATAGAGCAGCTCAAGATACTTTAAAATAATATTTTTCTTTAACATTTTATTCTTTAAAAATATTACATCTTTTGTCAAGCCCTTGAAAAATTTGATTACTATGTGAATTCTCATCTTACAGCCCTTTCAAATTATGAGGTTGAAGTATATTAAACTTTAAAGTTTCCTTATTAATTAGAGTTAACCTAAGAACTTTGCTCTATAAATAAATATATATAAATATATGTAAAAGCTTTGCTTGTTCGAACCTGAGTACCAAGATTGGGATGGGGGAGAGTAGAAAGTGGGATACAAGTCTCATAAAAATCAACTGTCTGGAATAAGTTCAGGGACTGTATTGTTTCCAGAATACACAGGAACATCTGTATCAACTCTAAATCAAGCATAAGACATTTTGATTAATCATCAGTGGGGAGTTTTAAGTTTTAACCCTTTACTTAGAATAGGAAGTCTCTACATGCTATTTTATACTCTCATTTCCTACAAACAGGCTAACCTAATATTAGCATATAACTAAGTGTTGAAAATGTAATAACAGAAATTTGTACATCTGCACCATACCTATAGCAGAATATCTCAACACTTGAGAAAACAGAATGATTCCTAACAGCACCTGTGTTAGGTGTCGGGGATTACTATCTTCAGCCGTACAGTTGGGACCTCATCCATCTGTCTGTACCATCACAGTGCTAGAGTACTTTGAAAAGTGTGCCATTTTCAACCCCAAGTAGCATAAAAGAGAGAGAAAAAGTATGTTTGCTATGTTTTAAGAGAGGTTCTCGGGTTCTTCATCTAATTAAATTGAATCAAATTAAAATCTAGATCAGACATGGCCAGCTTATTCTATTATTCCAAAGTGGACAGACATAGAGCGGTAGTCTGAGCTGGTCAACCACTATAGTTTACGTTCTAGATTAGGAGGAATAGAAGTAAATTACTTTGAAGTTCTCAACAGAGATGACTTCCTGCTGAATTCTACTGATACAAAGAAAGGCACCAGGAAGAGAATATTAAAAGTTCCCCTAGTCACAAATTAAAATAAAAAGAATTAACATATGCTACAGTTTAGTTTCTCCAGCTAAATTTTTATAAAGTACTCATATAATTGCATTTTCTGAATAGTAAACAGCCCAATGCAAGATGTCTTATATCAGATATTAAGTAACAATGTGCATTTTGAGAATGAGACACACATACTTCATAGCAGCTGCACTTATTTTAGCATCAGATTGGCTCAAGTTAGCACAGCTTGAAATTAAATATCATTGCTCTCAGCACCAATAAATAAATATGACAAGGCAACATACATAAAGAAATACCAAAAGAATCTAACTGCGGTTTCAAAATCAATATGACTGCAAACTTATATCTGCAGCAACAATAATTACCAATTAAGGTGGAGATGAAGGAAGAGCTGGGATCAAACGGACATCGGCCCCTTCCTTTCTCAGATCTGTGTGATTCCAGGTGAAACTGGGGGTCCTTGAAAGAAAAACCAGAAAAGCCAGTATGTATCTGCCAATTTCAATAAGAATTTCATTGACAGGATGAAACACAGGAAATCATGATTTCTTTCTACAAAATAGGTATTGTAAATAGGACACCAGTGAGTAACATCAGGTTAGTTAGGACCAAACTGGGTTTTATAAATAAATACATGGGTTCCCAGCTTCATATGGGTTTTCTCATTCCTCCTTAAGAAAGTAAGCAGGTGGTAAAATAAAAGAAATTAACAGTTATTAATCACTTGATCATATAGCATTTTAGCATTCTGAGATGTGGTATCTGAGATGTGAGTTAGGTATCCAAAGGAATGGAAACTTGCTGGAAAAGGGTTACTTAAAAAGGAAAGTTCAATAGTAAACAGGGTAATGGGCTTTTTTTATTCCACTAAGGTCAATATTGATTTTTTTGAAGAGTCTGTAAGAAAAAAAAATGAAAAACTTTTCTATCAACAATTTGGATTATTTATTTCCAATCATTTTTATTCTTCACATCTTCTCTATACAGACACCTAGTATTTATTTAATAATTTAGAAAATGATTACTCATAAATAAATACTGGAATAGAGATGCATAAATAAATGCCATATTATGAGCAATTTTGCAGCTAGGACTCACACAAATGAGATACTGAAAATAAATATTTCTATAAAAAACTACTACTTTATTGGTTCCTTTTGCAAGCACATAACTACAGAATTTTTCACTGAATGTCCTCAGATTTCAAAATTCTCATTGATGGATATTTTTATAATTAATCTCCATTAAGTGTGCTATAAATGGTTTGGGTAAAAGAAAGAAATTGGGAAAGTGACAAAAAATCAATACAAAAATTTTGTAGAAAAATAACTATGTTGCAACAGATAACGTGTTGATAACTTCCCATGGCATCTATGAATAGCTCTGCCTATCTGTGAATCATGAACCTATAAACAATCTTCAAGTTCTGAGTAACCTCTGAAAGTTGCATGCGTTTTTCTCAAACTTGATCTTGACGTTGCTTGTCTCCCATTCACTCCACATTCTCTCTCCTGCCCTTACCTCACCTTTCTTATTTGACACATTCTTCTCATTCTATGATAATCTAAAATCAGCATTCTGATCCTTCCATTCTAAAACGATTCTGGCAAATGCAGAGTCTGTGTAACCCTTCAGTCTTACCCTTGGAATTGAACTGTAGCCTACAGAACAAATGTGGCCTCCTGACCTAAAGGTGTTGCTAAACTGATATTTTAAGCCAGAAAAGGAGAGTTTTATCTATACAGACACTTTATACAAATTAGTACAGAGCAAGAATGCCAGTAAATAACTTGAGACTTTTTGTGTTTACTTCCCACAGATGACAAATTTGCAATGACACGAGAAGAAAACTTTTCTCCAAATGAGAGAGACTATGGGTCTGGCCAGCTCACACTTACACTAAAGGGGTTTCATCTAAATTTGCAGTACAGACCCACACTATTATACGGAGGAGGAAGTGATCAAGGGTGTGAATGTAGTACCTGCTGGACCCTTGAGTCACCACTACTTGGAGGAATATTTGGGAAAAATATGTAGGGTATACATATTTTATTTGTTTTAACATAGTCAAGTGTCCAAATGTTTGGTTACTGAAAAGCATTGAAGACATATATCGAACTGCTCTCTTAAAGCAAGACTTCTATAACTTCAAAATTCTGGTAGACTCAACTTTTTACCTTTAATGACTAATGAAGTTGATTTATCCAGCAGACATAATTAGACACCTTTAACACTAAAACTGAAACTGCAAAAGAAAAACAAGTATGTTGTTTGTTTATTCAAGGCAGTACAATATATTCACTTGAATTTAAACTGTTAAGTGGGTGAAACAGAAAATACAAACTAGGAATTCTAAGATCAAGAGAATCTCAGATTTTTAATAACTGCAGAGTTAGGTGAGGGAAATGAAGTCACAGTTTCTGAAGACAAGTCACAGGTTTTTCTAAGTATAAATGGTAATGTAGGATCCAGAGGCTATTGTTGATGGGTGAATTTCATTCAGCATGTGTCTGAGGAATTAATTATATAACATAACAGTTTGCATTCTAAAATGTCTTCCACTTGCAAGAGAAATTGACTGAATCAATAGGAAACTACTCAGAAAGAAACGTATAACCCTAACAGTCTGAAAATAATTAAGTGGAACCCAGAATCAGCTGGAGTTTTTAGTTAGAATTTTTGGTTAGGTACAATTCTGTGTAATATGTAAATCTATTTGACTCTATTAAAGGACATACTCTTTCATGAAACCTCAAATTGGAAACTGAGAATACATGAGTAATGAATAGTGATACTCATACATTCTCAGAGATCAATGCCTCAGGTCCAAACTTGAGTGAAATCTTACCATCTTTCTCCAGAAGACTTCAAATACTTATCTTTTTCATTTACTTGATTAATGGCTGAAACTACCTCAACAAAGAGTTTAAAATAATGAAAAAGATATTAAACTTTTCAGTTTTTTACATCACTATAAAAATGCATTATTTTTGAATAAAGGATAGACATAGCTATCATTTAAATTTTTAAAATGATGTCTTCTGCTGTTTCTCATTTTTAGCCCACGAGTAACTAAAAAGAGAAGGAAGGCAAATTACTGGAACATCCCTGCTTTAGATAAGCACAATTTTCTTTAGGTACAAAGAGATGAAAAGTCCAACTTTTTAGAGGATATAGTAACTTCATCCATACACTGATTAATGATACCCCAGGAGTACAATAATACATATTATAACACAGAATTATTTTATACAATAATACAAAAATGGAAGACAATGTCAAATGGGATTGTAGAGTGTAATGCTTCTTAAATTTGAGGACCATCATAATACGTGTTTTGAAGATCATATTTGTAACAAAATAACCAAGAGTTGCTTTGGACACTTGGAAGTTCTGTAACTGCTCCTTCAGTTTGTGTGTCAGACAACATTCTGAACTACATGCAGGTTTCTGAATATCTCTTACTTGGGCTTATCAGTGTGTTTAGGATAATAATGCTCATATAATATAAAAAACTCAGCACAGACCTAATCACCATGAGGAATCCTGTCTGACGCCTCTGTCAGCCCTAGAATCACTTCCTTTTGCTTTTTGTATCCTCCCAGATCATCACATGAATCCCTTTTGTATATCATTTACTCTCTGTATTATAATAGTATGTTTGATTCTCTTCCCTACCGGTTTGCAAGGTTTCCTTGAGGATATTGCTCATGTGACATTTACCTTTGATTGCCTGTATCAAATAAAATACCTGGCATATAATAAATGCACAACTGTTTCTGTTGTTTGAATAGACACTTCCTTTCCAGGAACAAATTGTTTTCTTCTCTCTTGTGTTGTGTGGGCCGTGACTATTTTCTCATAGATTTAAAAAAACTCACAAAGCAGCTGTGGATAGGTATGTATGGATTTGAAACTAGACAGTAAGTACAAATTATTATGCTATGCTATGCTGTGTATGCTTTCTTAAGGCTACCTTTAGAGCAACATCATTGCTCTATTATTTCTAAATTTTGATTGCCATTGGCTTAGGAAAAACTGATTAATTTGGCAACACAACGAAAGAAAGAATTGATATGTTCTTAATTTTCCTGCCTGTTTAATGAGGACAATATATTTTTATATATAGTTTCATAACTTATAATAGATTCTTTCCAGGATTAATATATCAAAGACTAGGATAAATATAGATATAACAATTTAATATCTAATGGCAGCTACAAACAGTAAAATCAAAAACTGAAGAGTTATAAAGATGATTTATTTAATCTCCAAAGACCTTATTAATGACAATATGTAATCTGAAGTGATATGGAGGTGTGACATAGAGGTACAATCATTTGTTAGCTAATGCTTCTCTTTTCCCAATGGGTGATTTGAAAAAAAAAATGAGAGTAAGGTATTTTCTTGATACTGTGGTGTATGATCATGAAATTTCAATAATGAATTGAGAATCAAGACTGAGTTATTAATTTTTATCAAACTAACTTGGCAGTTTTTAATAAATTAATTGATCTTCTGTTCCATGACTTTACAGCAGAGGCTTTCTTTATCTTGTTAAGCTACATGTGACAGAAAGATACACTGATCTAATTCATCTTAATTCCTCAGGACTCAATATGTTCGTTTTGCAACTTTGAAAACTAAGATGCGGAAATTGTTGAGAAGAAGTAAAAAGAAAGAAAATTTATCATAGACTGGCTAATATTGATAGGATGGAAAGCAGGCAAACCCCAAACTTCCATTGCTCTGTTTCCCATAGATCAAGCTAACTTCAAAATTCACAATAAGTTCAAGAATGAAATTTCTCACATTATTTTGGGAGTCTGTTATGGTCTTAAAGGCAGTGTTTAATTTAGTGCACAATCCAACAAAATACTAAAAAGTGAGTAATACGATTTTCTTCCAAGCAGTGGAATTCAGCAACCAAACCAAAAGAGAACTTGAGGCATAATGACATTGTCAATGACCCTGAAGCAATTGCTTTTATGGTTCAAGTCATGTGCAATGTTGGTGTTTAACCCTATTGAGAATGTTAGCCATGACTTACACTGGCTTTCCACTATCTGTATTTTAACAGCTGGAATTTCTTTCTGAGTAATGTGGCTTAAATTTACAAGACATCCCAAGTATTAACAGTGCGGGCTGCACTTTCTGTTTCAGTGTGAAACGGGGTTTTTCAATAGGTCTTCTTGTGCTTGAGAGAAAGCAGGACTTGTAGTTTAAAGATGGGGGCACATGCATGTGCTCTTCAAAAACGTGTTTGTAAAGAATGCATGGTAGACCTTCCCAGGAGTTTTCCCCTTTATGTCTCGAGGTGATAGTGCAGACCCCAGGAAGCCCATCATAAGCTATTTTCAGTAGGTGTAACTCGTTCCACATCAAGTAGTAAATGTGATGCCGATTAAATGAGTTTTGTATTATTAAATAAGCTTGGTAAAACATTTAATACTATTCTT